AACAAGCATCCCTTTCTAAATTGTAATTGTAAACCAAATTAACTGTGTCTTGGGGATCTGTAACTCTTAAATAATCTACTCCTATTTAGTATTTACAAATCCTTGGAGATTTCATTGTCATTTTCTCATATTTTTGGCAAAGTTTCCCGTTAAGATTTTTATTTATGTACTTCCTAAATGCGAAGAGGAGATAATCTAAAGCTTTGTTTGGATGGGTTGTGTAGAAGTGTTAGTTACGTAGTACTAAATAGTAATGGCAATATTGTAAATTGTAATTATGAAGAACAACATCCCTTTGTAAATTGTAATTGTAAACCAAATTAATTGTAAGTGTCTTGGGGATCTGTAACTCTTAAATAATCTACTCCTATTTAGTATTTACAAATCCTTGGAGATTTCATTGTCATTTTCTCATATTTTTGGCAAAGTTTCCCGTTAAGATTTTTATTTATGTACTTCCTAAATGCGAAGAGGAGATAATCTAAAGCTTTGTTTGGATGGGTTGTGTAGAAGTGTTAGTTACGTAGTACTAAATAGTAATGGCAATATTGTAAATTGTAATTATGAAGAACAACATCCCTTTGTAAATTGTAATTGTAAACCAAATTAATTGTAAGTGTCTTGGGGATCTGTAACTCTTAAATAATCTACTCCTATTTAGTATTTACAAATCCTTGGAGATTTCATTGTCATTTTCTCATATTTTTGTCAAGGAATTTTATCAGTTCAGGACCTGAAAGATACACGAACTATCAAAAGTTAGCAATGGCATTAATAAGAAAATAAATAAATCAAAACCTATGAAATGTTAGGTCCAAGATTGATAGTTTTTCATCATTCGGGTCCTGTACCAATACATTTCATCTTTTAGGTCCCGGATTGATAATTCGTGTATCTTTCGGGTTCTGGATTGATAAAATTCCTTTACAAATTGTCACCGTGGGTTTGGTCGAATTTGCCCAAAATCACAAAGGCGAAAGAGTGCTGCGGAAGCACGAAAAAGTGAAAGTGAAACATGAAATAGTGCATATTTCGCACTTTGCACAGAAAGATCGCTCTGTATTTGAATTCTCCCCCTATATATATACTAGACGAAGTACCCGTGCGATGCACGGGTATATCTAGAATAGAAAAATAATTAACTTATTTATAATTACTCCTCCGGTTTTTAATAAACTTCACACTTTCCTTTTTGGGACGGTCTAAAATAAACTTCACACTTCCTTATTTCCTTTTTTGGCAAAGAAATCTACATCAAAACAGTGCCAAACAGTGCCAAACAGTGTCTCAACAGTGCCAAACAGTGTCTCTACAGTGCCAAATAGTGCCTTAACAGTGTACTCTACAGTAAAGTCAAATTTCTTTCCTTATTTTGTGTGAAGTCAAAGTGTGAAGATTAAATAAAACCGGAGGGAGTATGTTTTTTTAAGATAGTACGTACGTAAAGTGTACTTTTGTTACATAAAAAAACGGAGCTTAAATGTTGTAAGTTGTGTTATACGTAGTACGGAGTATAATAATATTTTGGGGCCTTGGGGGCATTTCTCCAAATAGGACTAAATGAAACTTTAATTGAAAGAAGAAGAGTATAGCTTCAAAATTCCCAAAATAGGACTATATTTCGAATCCCACCCTTGTTTTTTTAATGTAATTCAAATTTCATTAATGATTGAAACATAAACTTATAACATAGTAATTCATATTTCCGAAGAGTAAAAATGTCGTTTTTATTACATTTTGGGAAAAAATGGCATTTGTTTTTACATAAAATGACATTTTTCACCGATCAGATGTACACTGGCATTGTTGGGAGGTAGTGCTGGACTCGGGCCGGTTCGAGCCTGGGCCCGGCCGGGCCTCGGGCCAGGAAAGGGAGGCCCGAGCCCGAACCGCCGGTGGCCGGTTCCGGTCCCGGTTCCGGGCCAAACCGGGCCGGGCCAGGCCGAACCGGCCCAATTAATTTTTTTTTTTTGTTCTCCTATTTAATCCCCTACCCCTCCCCCTCAACCCCAAACCATCCCAAACCACCTCAAATGGCCCAAAATACCTAATCCAACCTAAAACTTAAAAAAATTTCAAAAAAAAAAAAAAAATCCGGCCCGGACCGGGCCCGGACCGGCCGGGCCGGTTCACCAAAACCTGGGCCCGGGCCCGAACCGCCCAGCAGCCGGGCCGAACCGAACCGGTGGACCCACCGGGCCCCGGGCCGGGCCGGGCCAAACAGTAACCGGGCCGGGCCGCCCGGCCCGAGTCCAGCATTATTGGGAGGTGGCAGAAGGTGTGGGAAAGGCTTCTATATTTTTTTTTATTTTTAAATGCTTTTTATCTATAATTTTTTTTAAAGTTTTTCTACTTTTTCGTACTGTTTTTATTTTTAGAAAATGTTTTTTTTAATATTCTTTTACGATTTTGTTATAAATTACTCGTACAATATTTTTACTATTTTTATGTTTGTATTGAAAATTAAAATATAATTTTCCCGTTAAATTATGTCAGGGTAGAATGGAAAGATAGAGCTAGTATATTGTAGTTTCGTTTTGGGAATATAAACATCATAATCCTACTTGTACATTTGGGAAGATAGTGTGTCCTTCAGTTGAAGATAGAAAGAATAGCCATACTCCGACCAAGCACGGTGGTAATAACCTGACTTAATGCATGATCTCCTAAGAAGAACCTATGATTGAGCTTTATTCAATATTTTTGAATCTTGAATAAATAAAATGTTGTGTCTAAAATGGTTGATATAATACTATCTGAAATATATGTTCCTTAATGAAAACATATAATTTTTGAAGTATAAATGCGAATTTCTGAAGTGTATATTCATATTAATGATTAATGACATGGATGCTTGGCTTATAATAAACTTGAGCTAATTGAAACATATACGGAGTATTAGAACCAATGACATGAATGCATGCCTCTAAATAAAGTTAATTAGATATTTGAAGTTATGATATGGATGCTTGGATATTTATTGTGGAAGTATTCAACATTATAAACTTATACGAAGTATGAAGTATTTGTACGAAAAAATTAAAGCCCTTTAATTTGCTAGTGCTTGTAGATAGTAACTCATAAACATTACAGTTGATGCCCTGCTGAAATTAAAATATATCACCACATGACTGTGCATTTTGCTTACATCTTAGAAAACTTTTGAATCGGCTACTTAATCAATATGTACCTTATCTATAAATAAGTAAATAAATAAATAAATACTCCATATTTTAATGCTTGCTACATTTTTTTTATATATATATAAAAATTTGCCCTTATTTTTTCGTAACTTTCTCCCTTAAAAAAATACTCAATTACCCTTATTTTTTCTACTTTGTATATTCTCTTTCATACTTTCCCACCACCTCTACTACTTTTTCTACAATATTCATTACTCATACTAATTTATCTTTAAATAAATTAAATTTCATGATTTTACATGAAATCTCTAAAATATGTTCATACATATTAAACTCAGGACAATCTACATATTCATGTACTACATTTATTAATATCTTCCACTATATATGGTAGATTCGCCATGTTAATGGATCCGCTACTAGTAATAGTACTCCCTTCATCCCGTAATTAAGTTCTTACTTTCCTTTTTGGGATGGTCCATATTAAAGTTCCTACTTCAAACCTTTCCTTATTTGGCAAATGATTTACACCAAAACAATGACAAACAATGTCAAACAGTGTTCAAACAGTGACAAACAGTGTTCAAACAGTGCACTCCACAGTATAGTCAAATTTATTTCTTAATATGTGTGAAGTCAAATTAGGAACTTAATTAAGAACTGGAGGAAGTATTAAATATACTTGTGCATTTTGATCATCATCGTATACACGTAAATTTATTATATGACTACACTACTTGCCATATAGAAAATTTTGTACATATCTAGCATATTCTCTACGTATAAGAGCATCTCCAATGCTAAAATGTGCACGGTGCACATGTGGCATGAGTGATAGTCACATAAATATTAGCAAATAAATTATCTCTCTCCTTATTTGAATGATTTTATACAATTTTGGTAAGTTTTTCCCTGCAATGTCAACTTCAATGTCAACATTTAGACGGTCTCCTTGACATTGTGGAGAAAAACTTACTAAATCTGTATAAAATCATTAAAATAAGGAGAGAAAGAATTTATTTACTAATATTTATGTGGCTATCTCTAATGCCACGTGTGCACCGTGCACATTATACCATTGGAGATGCTCTAAAATTATGGACAGCATAAATATTCACATAACTATTTATACCATCCGCTATAAATGATAGTATTACCATGATACCATGTTTATACCATCCGTTGGTACTCTTAATTGTTGTCATCCGCCAATGAATATTTGGGTTAACAAATAACAATACTTGCCATGTATATTGGAGTATTAAATTCAACATAATGCACCCCGTATATAGCAATACGCCCAAAATCTTTGGTTTATTGTTTGCGCCCTTCAAATAGGCGGGAATTTTACATCCAAAAAATTGTAGCAACTCTACTACTTTATATTAGATAAAGATATAAAGATAAAGATATTATATAAAGATATACACACACACACACACACACACACAATTATCAACTTATTGCACACATTATAGGTATAATATGATTAATATCTGATATGTGTGAGTTAGTGTTTATTTCAAAAATGTTGGAATATATTTACTGGTATGTATAGTAATCATAAAATGGATTCACTTTAGTATATTGCGCAAAACCTAAAAATGCATTGATCCATACATTAAATTTTTTAAAAAAATGAAATATCACAAATTACATTCTAAAAACGCATTTAAGTTATGGCATGCATTTATAACATAAGAAATATAGGAAACAACATTTTAAAGTGATATTTGACGAACATTTGACTCATGATCAAATCGATTTGACATTCGTATGTGATTTGTTAACTATTCGTACTGTTACTCAAATACGAAATATTCAACTGATTCCTTGAACCCTAATTAGGCCTCTAGACGATTTTGAAAACCCACTTTATACACGTCTATAATAACAATCACTAGCGCACGTAGCTGCTTCCATTCCCGCCCGCCTTGACGCTTCGCCTCAGTCCTCTTCTTCCCTCCCCTCTATTCGCTTCAATTTCATCGAGTGGCGGGACAAATACTTACGAACGGACGATTCTCGTTGCAATGAACGGACGAAAAGCTGCATCGGTTGACAGAATCAGTGAACTGCCAGCAGATTTAAAGGACCAAATTTTAAAGTTCTTGGACACCCAATCTGCTGCCCGAACAGCTCTTCTCTCGACTCAATGGAAGGATGTATGGTATCGCCATGGCCGGCTTGAGTTTTTTTGGGACTTCAACGAACCCTTGTCTTCTCTTGGAAACATGATAACTAACATTCTCTTGCTCCGTTCTGGACCCGTGAGGGAATTTTCGCTTTATATTTGCAGTCAGGAGGATCCAGCCCTTCCCCAGTCTGATATTGATTCGTGGTGCCTATTTCTATCGAGAAATGGAATTGAAGAGCTTACCCTCGGTTATTTTGAGTTTCAGTATTATGATCTGCCAGTTTGTATAGTCTCCTGCCCGACCATTAAGATACTCAGTCTTCGGAATTTCTTTTTCCGTTTCCCTGTTAATGCTCCACCTGGCGGTATATTTCCCAACCTCACATTTGTATTTTTCAGCCGTACTGATTTTGAGCATAATGCTGCTGGAATTATGGGTTGTAAAATACCTAATCTTGTTGAGCTGGTCTTCTCCCATTGTAATGAGGTCCAAAAGTGTGTGATCAATGCTCCAAAACTGGAAAGCTTGATGGTCATTGGCTCTACTATGTACAGAAATGAATGGTCAGAATGGAGATGGTTTCTTATTCATCTTCCAATAATTAAGACTCTTTGCTTGTCTGTAGAACTATTTGTGGTGAGGTTCTTTTCTTTCATATAATGTTACAACTTCAGTTTGTATTTTTGTGTTAGGGTTATGATTTCAAGGGTTACTACTTGTTTTTTTCAAGGATAATCTTGGTGCTACAATAAATATCCAAGAGATGTTACCAATAGCAATAAATGTGGAAGTAATTAAGCTGTATGAGTTCAACTTTGCTTCCGCGAAGCACTTTGATTTTGCGGTTCAGCTGATTAAAAAATGTCCAAAGCTATGCGAATTGGAAATTCTAGCAGAACAGGTTTTAATGTCCCGCATTTAAAACCCTTTAAATATTTAGCTAGTATGACTGTATGAGGCTGCCTTCTATCCACACGTCATGATAATGCATTCTTTCTCTTGTGCTGTAGTTTTCTTCAATGGAAGAGTTTAAAGCTGCTGCAAGGGCATGGGAAGATCCAGAGTATGGGTTTATTGATCAGGAACTGGCCGTGATTAAAACAGTGAAGTTCGCATCATTTCTTGGATTGAGATTGGAAGTACAGTTTGTCAAAACAATCCTGTCAAATTCTCCCGCCCTTGAGACACTTGTTATTCAGGAAGCATCATATAATAGTTTAAATAACTCTGTGGTTCCCGGAATCGTAAGGAAGATGCCCCGCTTCCCTCGTGCTTCTCCAAAAGCACAAATCGTCCTCTTGAATTATACGTATCCCAGCCTCGTTGATTCACCTCCTGAGTTTTAGCTTTTCGGTCTTTATTTTCCAAATGGATAAGTGCAGCATGTCTGGGCATTTTTTGGGAATCATCATCTTACTCCGATGTACAAAAGTTTGGTTTTTCAATCCAAATGATCATCAAACAGCTATTTTTATGTTTTGGAATGATTTTTTATTACCTGAAGTAGATGGAACAACAATTATAATTCTGGAAGAAGTGAGATGCTAAGCTTTTTTATGCAGTATAAATTTTTGTTAGGTCTCAACTCTTTATAGATACTCATCCCTTATCTGACTGGGTATTTTGAAAGGGATGTCGTGAGTATGGGGATATTTCTTTTATGGCTCCCTTTGTCTTGACAACAAATTTCACATTATTTTGTCTGTGCTAAATTAAATTCTTCTTCCTCGTAAGGAAAATTTCATGTCATTTGAATTGTCTCTTTTTCATCTGCCTAACTTGCAAAAAAATGCTTGGTGTACACGCCACCGGCTTAGACGCTTGCTCTAACTTGCAACAATAATGCTTGGTGTACACGCCACCGGCTTAGACGCTTGCTCTGTGTGTTTGTGCACAAATAATAATATTTTCGGAATCACATATTGTTTTCTTTACAAAAACGGAAAACAATTGTGTGTTTTCTGACAAAAAGAATGAGCGTCATTATTGAACTTACAATGACACCTTTTTCATTGTAAGTTAAGTAACAACGACTTAAATAGGTGTAGGAGAAAACAACCTATTTTGTTGAGAGTGGTTAGCTCCACATGAACAAGTTGATAAGAATTTCCTTAAATTATGCCTAAACTAGTCATAAGCCCCCTTTGGATTGAGGCAAGAGTATTCAGGAATGGAGTCCCTGCCCCCGTGATCTTCGTTATTGAAGAAATTGGCATGCATCCGCAAGACCACGACTTTATAGTTGCAGTTTATGGAGGGATGGTTTTTCATTTTGTGTTGATATAAAGTTATGAGTGGCCAAGGTGTATGACCTGCTGTAGAAATGATACAAGAATGCCTTGGATGGATTTTATCGGGAGGACATATATCCTCCCTCCATGCTATTTCTTCATTATCTGGGCTTTTTGAATAGTTGGAGTAGAAAATATATGAAGGATAATCTGCTTCGTTTAAAGCTTTATAGACTATTCGTTTTGCTACTCACCCGGAAATGGCATACATGTTCTATCCGGTTAAACAGTTGAACAAATTTGATGTTTGTCGAGAACCCTCGATGAAGAATTTTGCTTAGAAAAAATAATGGAGAGAAAGAAATGGAGAGGGGCTTAACTTGTGAATGAATGAGAATGAGGAGAAATATCTTTACTTTATCTAGAACTGTTACGGAGGGACTCGAATGATGCGTAAAGACATCAAGGATGGAGTTGGGATCTAACGTGTGTGTTGTCAAAATAATATTACAACAGAATTTGTCTTAAATAAGAGTACAGATAATATGATTTTAGAATTAGGTGTATAATATTTTTCCTCTATTATTTTCATGCTTGAAAAATAATGACACTTATGGTACCAATATTGCCATATTAGTGTTTTGTAATGTCAAAATATGGTAATATGATTTCAAAATAGTAGTAATATACTCCTATTTAACGGAATGATGAAAATACAGAGTGCAACTAGAATTATTTAACAAAAAAAATAATTTTGGTTTTTCAATATCAACATATAGGCATATAGCACTCTTTAGTTCTTACATAAACAACCCCCACAACATTTGTTCTACTTCGGACTCTTTCCATCTACCCCTTTAACCCTCTCGATGGGACGTTGAAAACCTTGTTGTAGGTGCCTATCCCGTGTACAGAGTTTTTTTAGGGAATCCCTTGTACAAAGCTTCGTTTTGCAAAATTGTAAACGTTCTTAATCAATAAATTTATGATGCATATTATTTTATCTCCTCTTTACAAACCTCAATCACACAATTTTTACTGTGATATTATTTTGTTTCACTCGAACTTGGCAAAGTCACATTTTTTTATTTTATTTTTTCACGTGCCTGTTAAATTTGACAAAATTTGAAGGATATGGAGAATATTTTGATACCCATGATCATTCAAGTATATAACATTAAGGATGGCAATGGGGTGCGAGCCCGTAGGGGAAGAAGTGAGGCGGGTGTTGGGTGGGGTAGGTGTCGAGATAGGGGAATATTTGCCCTCCACTTAAATAGATTATGGGTTATGCACCCTGCCCCAATCCCCTCATAACAACAACAACAAAAATAATAATAATAATAATAATAATAATAATAATAATAATAATAATAATAATAATAATAATAATAATAATAATAATAATAATAATAATAATAATAATAATAATAATAATAATAATAATAATAATAATAATAATAATAATAATAATAATAATAATAATAATAATAATAATAATAATAATAATAATAATAATAATAATAATAATAATAATAATAATAATAATAATAATAATAATAATAATAATAATAATAATAATAATAATAATAATAATAATAATAATAATAATAATAATAATAATAATAATAATAATAATAATAATAATAATAATAATAATAATAATAATAATAATAATAATAATAATAATAATAATAATAATAATAATAATAATAATAATAATAATAATAATAATAATAATAATAATAATAATAATAATAATAATAATAATAATAATAATAATAATAATAATAATAATAATAATAATAATAATAATAATAATAATAATAATAATAATAATAATAATAATAATAATAATAATAATAATAATAATAATAATAATAATAATAATAATAATAATAATAATAATAATAATAATAATAATAATAATAATAATAATAATAATAATAATAATAATAATAATAATAATAATAATAATAATAATAATAATAATAATAATAATAATAATAATAATAATAATAATAATAATAATAATAATAATAATAATAATAATAATAATAATAATAGAGGAAGTGGTCCAATCTAGCTGGTTCCCGACTCACTCTCCCTTGTAGGAGGTCCCGGGTTCAATTCCCAATGGAGTAAGATTGATCTCAGTTTACCCCATGTCCCCCAAGCCCCCTTCCGCCTGATGCCCCTGGGGTGAAAACTAAAATGATGATGATGATGATGATGATGGGCAAATAAATAATATACCCCGAACTTTGCCTTGGTGTGAGCAGCTCCCCACCCTAAACTTGTCCTAGTTTAAAAAATACCTCCAACTTTATTTATTTAAATTTTTTGTACCATATTTTAATTACAAATAATATTTCTCAAATCATAATATGTTAATTAGGTTTAGTTGGCAAAAAAAGATGTGTGATTCCCAAATTAATGTCCTTACTAAATATATTATAGATTACATTGAGCTTTTTTTTAAACAAAAATAAATCCTCTGTATATATTATTATCAACTATTTCTCTAAACTACGTAGATTGGTGCATCTTTTTGTAGCTAATAATGCTTAAAGCTTATGATCACTGAAAAACGAAGCTTATGAGTTACGGAGTAATGGAGTATGACTTATGATTGCTGCACTATACTCGAATATTATTTGGTTCTAAACTTTTACACTTAATTTTAGTGGAAATATAACTAACTTATTATAAATTTGATTTCACAGTGACATTGCTTAAATCATTGTTTTTAAATATAGCGGACTCCAGTGAACAATTTCTAGCTTCTCATATTATTTTTCTTATTTTCACAGTGGACTTGAAATGTACTACTGGAGTGTGTAACAATTATCTTCTTATCGAAATTTGAAACCTGAAAGGATATATTTTTTAAAAAAAATTGTCTATTTCATATTTCCTAACATGTGTTATCTTCTCATTCAAACTTCAAAGGCACTTTTTAAAGCTTATCTATTTTTGTATTGGATATAACGAAGTATCTTTTATGGAATTGATTGGAATACTAATTTTTGTTAAGGTCATTCTTAATTAAATACAAATCTAAATAGAAAACTTTCAACAAAAAAAACAAATCTAAATAGAACAAAAATGCTAACCTATAAATTGAGAAGCAAGAGCAATGAGATTTATTTAAAACCTTGCAATCCGCCAAAAAGAATTTGGCCTAAATTGATACAAAATAGTATTTTGGTTTCACATATTATACTTAATTCATGTATGTGATTAGTTGAATAAAAATAGTATAAACTGATTAGGAAATGGATTCTCTGTCGCACGGCAGAGTCCTAGGCGCCTATCCAACGGCAAAGAAGTGAGCAGTTTGGGATCTGCAAAATCGGATCCAACGGCCTAAATTCGCCAGGCACCCTACCTGGCAGCCAAAACCAGGCAGAGGATCCAAATCCAACTGATTAGTAGTGACAGGCAAGAGAAAGATTTTTTAACCATATTAGGAAAATTCGATTGACTTGCTAAATATTTTCGCCAACTTGATGATATAGACTAAGCAAGTTTTGAAGCACAAGGGTTTGAAAGTGGCAATGCGGGTATACAAGCTAGAGGGAAACAAAGCAAACGAGGTAGAAAGCAAGAATTGAAGTGATTTAATTGAATTCAAAACTTTATATAAATTTATGGAGAGATAGATAGGCGATACATAAGTAATGCACCTCTTATTTCGTATATTTAAACATTTATACATTCTATTGAATTTGAATAATCTTTTACTCTCAAATAACAAATGATAATACAAAGTTTGAAATGACTTTTTTGCTTATAAATGTACGTTGCACATATATAATTTGAGAATTACATCATGTGCAATGCATAAACGAGAATACTAGATTTTTCACCCGTGCGTGACACTGGATGCATTATGCCATTATCTAATTATTAAATTTTGTAAATGTTAATATAAGAACAACTATAAATATGTATGTTCATAAAATTTGCTTTTGAATGTAGTTTACAAGGAAAACTTTAAATGTAGTTACAAGGAAGTATATAATTGATGTCTCAAGAGTAGTGTCCCTGTCTGGAGTGAAGTTTATTAGTTATTATTACATGTGTGATAATGACAAAAAACTAACCTAGAAGACTTCAAATGTACTCCAAAAGAAAATGCATACTAATTTGTATTTTTTATCTTGATTGAATTTTGTTAAAAATAACATTTGCACTCTTATATCTTTATTCCAACATTTCTATAGATTCACAATCTAGTTTTTTACAAAATACGGAGTAATTGTTTTACGGGTTAGACGGCACAGTGGATTATCAGGCCTTACCGGGCGGGTATGGATATTTGATTAGTATGGATTCTAACAACCCACTTTATAGTTTATACTTCAATTCCGAGCACTTCGCTGCTTCAATTCGCTTCTCTGGTAAAACCCAATTTCATCGATTGACAAACGGACGATTCTCGTTCCAATGGTTGACAGAATCAGTGAACTGCCAGCAGATTTAAAGGACCGAATTTTGGAGTTCCTGGACACCAAATCTGCTGCCCGAACAGCTCTCCTCTCAACTCAATGGAAGGATGTGTGGTATCGGCATGGTCGGCTTAAGTTTTATTGCAATGTCTACGAACGCTTGGCATCTTTTGGAAACATGATAACTGAAGTTCTCTCCCTCCGTTCAGGACCCGTGAGGGAATTTTCGCTTACTATTTGCAATCAGGAGGATCCAGCCCTTCCCCAGTCTGATATTGATTCGTGGTGCCTATTTCTATCCAAAAATGGAATTGAAGAACTTGACCTAGATTTTTCTGAGTTTCAGGATTATGATCTGCCAGTTTGTATAGTCTCCTGCCCGACCATTAAGGTACTCAATCTTCGGAATTTCTTCGTCCGGTTCCCTGTTAATGCTCCACCTGGCAGTATATTTCCCCGCCTCACATCTGCATTGTTCATCGATACTCATTTCGAGCATAGTGCTGCTGGAATTATGTCTTGTAGTATACCTAATCTGGTTGACCTGGCCTTCTCCTATTGTATTGGGGTCCAAAAGTTTGTGATCAATGCTCCAAAACTGGAAAGCTTGATGGTTATTGGCTCCAGAAATGAATGGTCAGAATGGAGATGGTTTCTTCTTCATCTTCCGATAATTAAGACTCTTTGGTTGTCTCCAGAATTATTTGTGGTAAGTTCTTTCCTTTCATATAATGTTACAACTTCAGTTTGTATTTTTGTGTTACGGTTATGATCCAAGTGTCTGTTTGTTTTTTCAAGGATCATCATGGTGCTGCAATAAATATTCAAGAGATGTTACCAATGGCAATGAATGTGAAAGTAATTAAGCTGTATGAGTTGAATTTTGCTTCCGCAAAGCACTTTGATTTCGCTGTTCAGCTGATTAAAAAATGTCCAAACCTATGCGAACTGGAAATTCTAGCAGAACAGGTTGTAATGTCCAGCATTTACAAACCTTTAAATATTTAGCAAGTATGAGGCTGCCTTCTATACACACATCATGATAATGCATTATTTCCCTTGTGCTGTAGATTTTCTCCGGGCATGAGAATGATGAGATTAAAGCTGCTGCAAGGAACTTGGAAGATCCAGGGTGTGGCCTTATTGATCATGAACTGGCCGTGCTTAAAACAGTGAAGTTGGCATCATTTCTTGGACTCAGATTGGAAGTACAGTTTGTCAAGGCAATCCTGTCAAATTCTCCCGCACTTGAGACACTTGTTATTCAGGAATCACCAAATGATGATATAGATGACTCTATGGCTTTAGGAATCGCAACGGAAATGCTCCACTTCCCTCGTGCTTCTCCAAAAGCACAAGTTGTCATCTTGGAGTATAGCTATCCCATGGTGGTTGTTTCACCTCCATGGTTTTAGCTTTTCTGTCTTTCATTTTCAAATGGATTAATGCAACATGTGGGGGCTTTTTTTCGGTAATAATCATGTTACTGAGTTGTAAAAAAGTTCGTGTTTTCTATCCAAATGACAATTAAACAATATTTTTTTTGTTTTTATTAACTGAAGTAAATGGAAGAAATGAGATGCTAAGCATTTTTATGCAGTATAAATTTTTGTGAGGTCTCAACGCTTTATAGATACCCATCCCTTATTTGACTGGGTATTTTGGAAGGGATGCCATGAGTATGGTGATATTTCTTTTATGACTCCCTTTTTCTTACAACAAATTTCACATTTTTTGTCTATCCTAAATTAAATTCTTCTTCCTCGTAAGGTAAAGTTGTTGTCATTTAATTTGTCTCTTTTTCACCTAATAATAATGCTTGGTGTACACGCCTCCGGCTTAGAAGCCTGCTCTTTTTGTGTGTGCACAAATAAAAATATTTTCGGAATCACATATTGTTTTCTTTACAAAAACGACAAACAATTGTGTGTGCTCAGACAAAAAGAACAAACGTGTCACCCGGCGTGTACACTAAGCGTTATTGAACTTACAATGACACCTTTTTCATTGTAAGTTAAGTAACAATGACTTAAATAGGTCTTGGAGATAACAACCTATTTTGTTGAGAGTGGTTGGCTACATGGCTAAACAAGTTGATAGAATTTGCTTAAATTATGCCTAAAGTAGTCAGAAGCCAGGAGAGGAGTCCCCGCCCCCGTGAATCCCGCTATCTTCGTTATTGAAGAAATTGACATGCATCTGTGACTCTGTAGTTGCTGTTTATGAAATTTATGACCTCAAATGGAAATGGGATACAAGAAAACCTTAGATGGACTTTAGCCGTATGAAATATATCCCTCCATGATATTTCTTCATTATCTGTTTTTCGGAATAGCCTATCTACGAAGGATCATCTGTTTCGTTTGAAGCTTTATAGATTATTCGTTTTGCTATATAGATTATTCGTTTTGCTATGCTCAACCAGATATGGCATACCTGTCCTATTCGATTAAACAGTTACACAAATTTGGTTTGGTGTAAGAAATGGAGAGAAAGAAATTGAGAGGAGCGTGAGTTGACTTGTGAATGAGTGATAATGATGAGTATCATGAGCGAAAAGAAGATACTACTTCCGTGTCCCATTTTATGTGTCTCGTTTGGTTTTGATACATTTTTTAATAAAGTGGTTGAAAATGTAAAAGTTGTAATTCAGATTTGAATATAATAAAGTGAAATGTTGAGAACCACATATTTCTTTCAAAAAGGTAAATGTGACACTTATTTTGGGACAATCCAAAAAGGAAAGTAAGAAAGGTAAAATGGGATGAAGGGAGTATTTAAGAAATATTTTTACTTTATCTAGAAATGTTATGGAGAAGCTCAGATGGTGCGTAGAGACATCAAAGATGGAGTAAGGATCTAGCGTGAGTGGTGTCAAAATAATATTACAACGGAAATTGTCTTAAATAAAAGTACAAATAACATGATTTCAAAATTAGGCGTATCATATATTCCCTCTATTACCTTCATGTTTGGAAAATAGTGTCAATTATGGTATCAATATTGCCTTATTAATGTCTCATAATACTAAAAATATGGTGATATAGTTAAATAGACTGTCCTTCTATCCGGTTAAATAGTACTCCCTCCGTCTCATTTTGGACCTTTGGTTGTTCTACTTTCCTTTTTGGGTTGTTCCAAAATGAATGTCTTGTTTCCCTTTTTGGCAAGAAATATGCATGTGATCTTGATCATTTTACTTTATTCTACTCAAATCTCAACCACAACTTTTATTTTTCAACCACTTTATTAATAACTGTGTTAAATTGAAAGTGAACAACCATTATGGGACGAATGTAGTAACATTCACAAATTTGGTGTAAAAAATGGAGAGAAAGATATTGAGATGAGCGTGAGTTGACTTGTGAATGAGTGAGAATGATGAGTATCATGAGCGAAATGAAGATATTTAAGAAATATTTTTACTTTATCTAGAAATGTTATGTAGAATCTCAAATTATGTGCAAAGACATCAAAGATGGAGTGAGGATCTAGAATGAGTGGTGTAAAAAAAAAATTACAATGGAAATTGTCTCAAATATTACTTTATCTTAAATAAGTACAAATAACATGATTTCAAAATTAGGAGTATCATATATTCCCTCTGTTGGGGTATGTTACCCCGGCCTACTACTGTTTAGAGGCCCAATACACCGCCCCAGTACGGGGCCCAGACAGCGAGGATCATTTGGGCCAACCGGCCCGTTGGGGCCTACTCGGTCCATTCCGGCCCAACAAGGCCCATTGGCCCATGGAGAAAACCCTTACCCCCTCCCCCATCTATAAATAGGAAGCCAACCTTCCTGATTAAAGGATCCTGGTTTTTTTGCTCTCCTCCTCCCTGCTTCTTCTTCTTCCTTAGATTAGAATAGTTCAACCTCCATTAATGGAGTTCAAGATACTTGTACTATGTAAATGGTGAGGAGAGCAGATTAATGAGAAAGAGCGGGCTTGGACGTTAGCCTAAAAAGTACCGTGGTTTTCTCCCTTTCCGGATTTCCACGTAAAAATAGCTAGTTCATACACTTTTTATGTTTATATTCACTTTTATACCGAATCCACCGTCCTTAATATCCGAAGTTAATGTTGGGCTTTCGGATCTACGGACTAAACCTCAACACCCTCTATTACTTTCATGCTTGGGAAATAGTGTCAATTATGGTATCAATATTGCCTTATTAATGTCTCCTAATGCTAAAAATATGGTTATGTGGTTTCAAAATAGTAGTAACTTACTCTTGTTCTAGCAAAAAAATATAGTACTTCATATTTTGAATTTTAGATTATTCTGCTCATATTTCACGAAATATCTCAATACTACAAACACAACTTTATATAAAAAAAAATATAACAAATATATGATTAGAAAAGGTAATTGATAAATTGGTTTTTTAATGAGGCACCTAAAAATGTGATTTAAATGTAGAGTCGTCATAAAATGTTACTACTATAAAATTTTAATGTAGGCACTATAAAATGTAGGCATTATATAGTTACTACGAGTTTGTATTCACCCCTAGAAGAAAAGCAGGGAAAGTGGGAGTAAAGACTGAGTATTAAACATGCAGGGAAAGTGGGAGTAAAGACTGAGTATTAAACCTGCATTATTTTGAATTCACCCCAATTTATTCACGTGAACGCCTTTGCTAATGCAGATTATTTTTATGAACACTGTGAGTAAGGATTATTATTGTAGAATCTCTACAAGTACAATTTATTTTTATGAACACCATTGTTGGAAATTGGAATTGCTTCCCTGAGAATCTGAGATGAATGAGAAGATAAAAAGACCATCTCCATTAGATCGATATCCCCTTCTTTGATCCACTAGACCATTAACAATTACTGTCATGATAAGGGTAATAAGATAATCGTCTTCTACTCATCGTCGCAAACTAATTGATGGACGCTGTCAGTGTGTTCGCCGGGCCTCCAATACTGCCTCTCAAGCATGCATGAGATATATATCGATCTTCCGACGGATCATTGCTAACTTGTGTGGGTGGAAGTGGAATCGTCACGACGATGGTAACAAGAAAAGGCTACTCTCTAACACATCTACATATTGAAAAAACTTAGTCAGAATCCATGGCAAGGTTGACGCCATCCTCATGACGACAAAATAGTTGGATCAAGTACGAGGTCAGGGATGATAACCATTGGTGCCAAAACGGGTGATAGAGGTTGGGCCCCCAGATGGGCCTTTGACCTGTTGGGACGGCGGGTACGGTCATCTGATGTAGTTCGGGGTGACGGTGGATTTGATTTTGTTGTCACCGTTGTTGAAAGAGTCATTAGTAACAGAATAATTGTAATCATTTCTCTGACGCTTCTTTTTCTTGTTTTTATTAGAACTAGTATATATTATACCCGTGCGATGCACGGGTATAAGTTTTCTATGTTATTATACAAATAAAAATGTTATTATAATAATATAATATATAAATTAAAGTAAACTCAAATGCCTTTTTTAAAACATCCATAAATTCGTGTTGACAGACAACTTCAATTTATTTGTACTCTATATTTAGCCTGTTGAATTATTTTGAACAACTAATGCATATTCATTTAGAAATTTTAGATTGGAGTCAATTTATAAAACCTTGTGAGAAGTTAGTTAAATAAATTATTAAAAAACATTGCGATATTTAAACATACATAAGGCGCACTGTTTTTCAATAATTTATTTAACAGATTTCCCGATTGAATTTTAAGTTGACATTTTTTTGACCTGATCTTTTGAGCAGCGTTTAAATAAATTACTCCCACAAAATTTTATTAAAAAAAATTGACCAGATCATTTTGTCAAGTGTGTCTGACCAAATCATTTCCCTATACTCTAAATCTCTAATACTCCGTAAAAGATACCGTACCCCTCAATCCTCATATCCGTAGACTGAGCCACAATGGCAGAGCTACACACGAAACACAACTAGATGACTTTCTACCTTCCTCACAAAAGCCTAGAATAAAAAATTAAAATTTTCTTTTAACAATGCCTAAAGAATTTTTTTGTATGGCTTATGTTACCAAGTAGTTTTAGGAACAAAAACATTTACTTGTGTAATGAATTTTATTTTTACTTGAAGCTTTTGTAATACATTTCTATAATATATGGAGTATATAATTAAGAGCCTATTTTTTGTCTTTTGTCCAGGGCCTATAAATTGTCAGGACAGGCTCTGGTCAAAATCGCTAACATAATCCGATAACCGCTAACCGTTGTTTACCAAACAAGGCCTAAGTAAGGATGTTTTCTTTTGGACTGTTTTCAGTCCCAGACCAGACCAGACTTAAACAGACCAGACCAGACCAGACCAGACTTAAACAGACCAGACCAGACCAGACCAGATTTAAACAGACCAGACCAGACCAGACCAGACTTCCGTAGTTATAAAATACACAGAGACCAGACGTTTACCAGACCAGTTCAGACCAGACCAGACCAGACCAGACTTAAACAGACCAGACCAGACCAGACCAGCAAATTTCAGTCCAAAAGAAAACATCCTAAGCAATCTATTATACACATGAAATAGCGCATCTTGAAACCTGAAATAAACGTAGGAGCCAAAAGATTGTATCCAGTGTGTCGGCCACAGTCGGTGTGTGCAAATTAAATAAT